GTAAGCTAAATGTGACCAAACATTGATTGATACATTGTGTAAACCTGTCTGGGTATCACTACGGAATAGAAAGCTCATGGAACCAAGATTACCGATCGAGGTACGCATACATGAATATCCGTATAGTGATCCACATTGAGCAAGAATAACATGTTCGATACCATCAGTAACAATCGTTGGTTTAATCCAAGCTTCGACTGAGAAAGAAATATTACGTAAGTCGATATATGGTGTAGCATTAATGTAAACTGATTGGTTCAGCGAACTTGTGAGATTTAGACACTTCCTACAACTAGTTCGTCCTAATGCATATGTTGATTTATTTCCATCTGTACCATTATAAATGAGAAAACGATCATTTATATTTCCTTCAAAATCCCATCCAATAGTTGGAGCTATGATAAAAGAATAGTAAAATTTGTAAGTGAATAGATAACTCTTTATACCTCGTCCCGCTGGTGTTGTCATGTTGATACAAGCACTGATAGTCGACAGTGATGCTGTACTTGTCTGTATTGTCGTGGCTTCAGGCTCAAAAACTATAAAATGAAATAATGAAATAAGAAAATTCTATATTAAATCTTGGTCAATTTGTGTTTCTTCTGAATATCTTTATGAGCGATGAATGTGATATTATCATTCAGGCCCGCCCTCTCAACATCTTACTCTATACTGTACTTCAAATCATTTTGTTGTTTAAATAGATTTGTTCTATTTGAACTGACCTTGTGGTATTCGTGTTTTATCTTGGACAATCATAGTAGTAATATCCGCATCAGGAAGCATGTTCTCAGTTAGATTCGATACATTTGCAAATAATTCACATGTCGAAGTCGATTTATGAAAACTGGCTGCAAGACATTGAGTTTGAGCTAAACAAGCTATTTGACAATTGAGAATGTTTGATACAATGCTGATGATGAATGGTAAACAAGTTGTGCTAGTGCAACTATATTTACTACCATTGATTATTAACATTATAAATGAGTGTGCATCTTCTGTGCTTGATTGGATAATAAGAAGTAACAGAAGTATTTGATAAATTCTTATGTAACCCATTATCAATAAAAGTTCAGATTAATAAAATGAAGTCCAACTAAAATTGAAGCAGAGAATTTCTTTTTCTTTTATTATACTCACTAATGTAAGACTTGAATGTGCATGTATGATAATATAGAGAAAAAGAACATGATACTTAAACATTAATTAACAATATAAATAGAGAAAAAAAACCTTATCACCTTTATTACCATTAGTATACCAAGTGTTCATTTGGCTCTCAAAGATGCAATTAAAGCACATTAAAAAAAGAAAAAAATAAGTATAGACAAAATGGATATATGAAGAGTAGAGAGGAAAATTTTAAGCGCAATTAGTTCTTGTTTACCTGTTTTGCTCATATTTTTAATATTAAAAAACTCCAAAGAATCTTTCATCTTTATTACAGTATTTAACATCTACTACGTTTGAGATACGTACGATAGAAAATAAGTTTCTAACTCAGAATAATAAGAATTCATATCTATTGTATGTTACTTTTTATTCTTACACGATTATGAACTATATGAATAATTAAAAATGGTGTGGGTGTGGATTTGGATATTATATTTCAGATATACCCACACCAGAATACTATATCAATGAATTAGAAAAGTTCTGAAATAATGAAGAAGCATGGGTTATTGACGGATGAATCGTCGCCATCGTCTGAATGAATCTTGAAATGTTTTTCTGTACAATTCTGAAGGAAGGACAAACACAATAAAGATAAGCATTGATGGGGTAAATGAAATGAAATAACCAAAAATAAATAATAATCGATGATTTGATGGATTGACACATTCTGATAACATTGACATAATCAAACGGGGTAAGGATAGAATTAGAAGAATGATCGGACTGATTAATAATTGTTTGTGTTCACTAAGTTGATTGTAAATATGTTCTTTTAGAGTTCGTCTTGTCTGAGCTGTTGATCGTTGTCTGGCTGATCCGAATATGATCAAAAGAGCAGAACAGAGATTGACAATACATGGAGCGACAAGATGAAAAAATAAGATGATTGTATTGTATTGTTGAACAGAAGGAGAATAACGAGTTACACACCATTTATCGATATCCGCTTTGCTTGTCTCTGTATTTACCTCATACAATTCTCGGTATATAGGTTCGTGAATGATCGAAATCATGACACAGAATGGTAAGATAAGAATTATCCATCGAGCAATACGTTGACTGTTTTGTTTATTGAATTTGATTCCTTTGAGAACGAGAATTGCTCTTTCAACAGCTACACAAGCATTGAGCCAAGCATCTACATAGAAACAAAGCTTGAGAAATGGTTCAATTGATACACAACCATCTCGAAGAACAGAAACACGAATCGATAGATTCATTTGAGTGACAACAACAAACCAAAACTTCACTGCTAACATGCTGATTGTAAGAAAAGAAGTAATTGATGATGCTAAGAGATAGATGCCACATCCAACTTGCCGAAGATCTTTACTTTGAAATGTTATTATAGACAAAATACTATTAATTAAACCTCCAACAAACATAATCATTGTCAGAACAGCATTGCTTTTCACCAATATTGTTTGATCACTCAATGTCATATTCGATCGAATTTCATCACGTAAAATATCATCGAGAATGATACCAATGCTTTTCTTGTAGAACTGACATTTTTGGCCGATAAAACAATTGGTCAAAACATGAGCTGAAGAAAGAAATACATGATCATCAATAGATGAGATGAAATTTTTGCAACTTAACAAACTTATATCAGTGTAAATTTTTAAGCAACAATAATTTATGAAAGTCATTTGCCTTTAAATGACATGTCATGTCGAGATGAAATCTCAATATTTTATGATGCATTCACTCATTCTTATAAAAATGTTTCTAGAGATAAACCTGATCGATTTTCAAAGACTGTCAACTAATAATATCACAGATAGTATGAAATCACTAAAGAGTGAAAATCGACTTTAGTGGAATGTTAAATTTCTCTGTTAATGATTTACAAATTACTTACTGTAAGGATTAAGAGTGATGTTCGTTGAGCCAGATGTTAGAATGGAAAAGTTTCCTGTTATATTTGGAGAAGATGTTGTCACCACTAATATATATTTCGTGCCAGTGTGAAGATAAACGATGAACTTGAAATCTTCATAACTACAGCTTCGATAGTCTTGTGAGAGTAAATTCTCAAAAGGATTCATTGGGTTAAAATCATCTTCATAAATATCACCAAATGTATCCATACTGCTATCACTACTTAGAGCATAGTATCCAGTTTCCTCTACATACATTTGTATAGTTTGATAGTAATAATTTGATTTTCGACAATCTCGAGAATATGTTTGACTATTCGTAGTTAGCTCTGATAAATACTTCGATTGTACAGTTGACGAATATGGTGTTTCGATGACTGATGTAAAGTCTATGTAATGAAATCAAGAAAGCAGTGAAGATTCATGATAGAGATTGGTTGACTCAAAGAAAGAGAAATCTTGCGCTGGTGAAAATAAAACTGAGTATTATGAATCATCCCTTCGATATCCTGAATATAAAAGAAAAAGATGATGTCAAGTCTGTATGTTTAAAGACATAGTTCTTCGTAGTATCACTCTCAATGGAATAGATGTAGTGCAAATACTTACTCATATTCTTGAGATCAACCTTGTCTGGACCAGATACAAAGATTAAGAATTCACCTGTTACATTTGAAAAAAGTGTTGACACAACCAATATATATGTAATGCTAATCTCAAGAGTAATTGTGAGTCTAAAATGACGTTGCTGACAGCTTTCATTACTGTATAAGAGTTGATTTTCCATTGGATTAGACGGATTAAAATGTTCTTTGTAAATTGAGCCGTTTGTGTCCATATTACTTTTGCTATGGAAAGTGTAAAGACCACTTTTATGAACATTCACTTGTATCGCTTCATAGTAAGAACTTGGCCGAGAACAACTACGGAAATACCTTGAACTGTTCGTTGTCAATTTTGATACATAAACTGTTTGAACAATTGATGAAGTATTCACTAACAAAAAATAAAATAAATTCAATTTTATTCTCTATCCCGAGTGAACACATCGAAAGCAAATGAAAATCACTATAATCTCATTTTCTAGATGATAGAAAACACTTTGTGATATCGGATCTTGGTGTGAGATAAATATACTATATGCATTCAAGGAGATTTTCCTATCCTATTCGTAATATTGTGTTATTTGATGAGTTCAATACAACTGTTTGTATAAACCTTTCTTCTTATAGTAAAAATATCGTATTATAAAACAAGTCTTTATTTATCAATATGCTAAACTCAACTAAATTCTCATGTTAACGATGGCAAATATTCATTTAATAGTTGTACTACATACATTTAGTAATATTCTTGAGATCAATATTGTCTGGGCCCGATGCAAAGATTGAGAATGCATGTGTTATCGAAGAAAACGTTGTCACAACCAGTATATATGTAATACTACTCTCAAGATCAGTTATGAGCTTAAAATCTTTTTGATTGCAGCTTTCATCATTGTATAAGAGTTGATTTTCCATTGGATTCGACGGATTGAAATATTCCTTGTAAATTGAGCCGTATGTATCTATATTGCTTTTGCTGAGGAAAGTATAAAGACCACTTCTATGAACATTCACTTGTATGGCGTCATAGTAAGAACTTGATTCGGAACAAATACGAAAATACGTTGGACTATTCGTTGTAAATTCTGATGAATAAACTGTTTGAACAACTGTTGAAGTATTCACTAACGAAAAAGAAAATCGATTTAATTTTATATCAAATTAAAGTAAGTGTAAATAATTTGAAATTTTATTTTCTCTCTCAGATACATTTACTGGAAGTGATATGAATTTTAGTTTCTATCGAACAGAAATATCTGCATATCATTTTATAGATTTATTTTATCTCAATTTTCTATCGATGATGAATAAGTGCAGCTGATTATCTATTAAAACACTATAAATACTCACGAATACGATTGAAACCAACATAACTTGGACCGAATACTTGAATGGAAAAATTTCCTGTCAAATTCTGAGACGATGTTGTCATTACTACAACATATATCATGTTGGCTTGAAGAATAGCTGTGACTTTAAATTGGCCTTGATTTTCATAATCTTTATTATGGCTCAGCACATTTTCTGACACATCGAATGGATTGAAGTTATTTGTGTAGATATAAGCATACATGCTTTTCATCTTACTGCTGATCAGAAAAGCATAATAGCCAGTTATATTAATGTTCATTTGTATGGCTTCATAATACGAATCTAATTCTGAACAATCTTTGAAATAAGTTGAACTATTCGAGATCAGTGATGATGAATACATTGTTTCTATAACCACTAAATTATCTATTGAATAAAAAAATTAATGAGTATTTGTATTTACAATAAAGAAAAGTATTCTTAGTTTGCTTTTCACTCTGTTTACTAATAAGGGCTGAATCGTTTGTTTTACAGCAACGCTTTTGATAGGGAAATGAAGAGAAACATGAAATAAAATATCCGTTTAGTGTCCCAAATTAGGCATGTAAACGAATCCGAACTTAGTTCTAGTTCGCTACATGCCTAAACAAAATACATAGACACTTTAACTTCCATCTGTATCATTCAAGTAACATGACGATAATGTTATCGATTGACTTTTGTAGAGAATTATGAATAAGCAAGATTTTTATTTTATAATAATAATATATTAAGAAGAAACTTGAAATTTGAATTTAACTATTCAATCATTCTAAACTTACGACATGATTCTTCGATATATTGAAATTTTTGAATTCGAAAATTATCATTATCAGCAACATATATATTTCCAGAACGATCAAAACTCAAACTAAATGGCAAAGTCAATTGATTGGATTGTGAACCTCGTCCATAGCATCCAACTAAACATTGAAAGCCATTCGAGCTTGAACCAACGATGCGATTGTTGAGTAGATCCACAATGAATAAGTACTTCTCCGCATCTAATATAATTCCACTTGGACAATCAAGTGTAATTGTGGGATTTCGTGATCCACTTCCAGCTACTGTGATGCCATTTGATTCCCCTGACTGAAACAATTGAACCCGATCATTATCACAATCTGTTACATATAAATCTAAGTTTATATCGACAAAGATTCCAACAGGACCATTGAGTTCATTCAAGCCATATCCTTTAATACCTGTTCCAGCAGCAACGCGGTTTGACGTCATCAGAGGATCATTGAATGATCTCTTCACTACTTGTTGTTGAGCAAAAATTGAACAGTAAAGAGTATTATCAATATCAACGAATAATCCAAAACATGAGGAGTGAACATTCATCACTGTGGCAAATTTATTTGTTTCTACGATCCATTTCAGTACTCGGCCCTTCTCCCGTCCATCATCGATATAAATATCACCATTTGGCGTCACGAACAGAGACAAGGGTTCCGTAAAATCACCATAGATGTTCTTTGTTGGATTGACACTCTGTTCATCCCACACTACAATTGTCCTATTTTCTTTATTAGCAACATAGATTGTATTATTTGTGTTAATAAAAATAGCGAAAGGATACCATCCAACAATTGATTGATTAGCCAAAGTGATTCCTTTAGTATTCCACATAGCTGTTGGGCAAAACTTTGGTTGATTGTATGAAAGAGCTAAACACAAACAAAGAGAAAAACTGTAAGGAAATGAAATTATTAATTTTGAAATAATTTTTATGAATTGTTATTCTATTTTCTCTGATGAAATATGAATGCAACCTGAGAAGGCAATGAGTTTATCCAAGAAAACCAATGTCGACTTCTACTGAATGTTTTGTTGTGAAAAAAAAAGAAATATACCCGATTTTGATTGAAAAAATAAAAATAATCAAATGATCTTCTTATTAATATTAAAGAGATTGTGAATCAACTTTGGATATATGATTCTAATGAATAATGTTGTTTGTACAATGACTGATATTCAGTATATGATAAATAAAAGTATTTACCTGATGTTTCATTATTAAGAATAAGAAGAAAACTAATAATAAATACATCGTTATTCCACATCATTCAACGAGATCCTTTTTTGATAAAATAGTCAACTGATAAGATAATCTTTATCTTCTTTTTTCTAAATGAAAACAAAATGATAATCTGTATGAAGATTCTCTCATTTATTTCTTCTAGAATAGCACTAAGAAAAATAGTGTTCTAGAGAAGAGAAGGAATTAATTTCTTAATGTGATATTTTTCATTGAATTTCATTCTCTTTAAATGAACAGAATAGAATTTTATTTCGAAACGATCGTTTTTTTTGATTTTATAGAGATATATTTGATTTAAGTACAGAAAAACGTGATGAAGAGAAAGGAGAGAATTGATAAAAATCTGCATTAATCATCGGACGTGTTTTAACTAAAAATGAAATATCAGCTATCATCGTCAATAAATAAGTGACGCCAATGAACAAATCATGATTAGTTTCATGTTCTTTTTTTTATTTGAGTCTGCTAAATAATCTGCTTTGTCAGGACTCATTTTAAATCACGTTTTTTATTTCTGTACGCAATATTTTTATAAATGAACTTGTTAGACACATACAAAGTAGAAATCTCCATCGCGATACGGTAGATTTTGTCTGAGGGAAAGCAAAAAGTTGCATCAATTCAACTTTTAAATTGAATATTTGCAAGGACAAAACTCTAATAAATGGACGAATCTTATCAGTTAGTAGCACTAGTTCTTATTCAAACATACTTACAGTCGTGAAATGCAGATCAATATTTTAATATTCTTTACAATCTGGCAGAAATAAAGTGTTCAATATTTACTAAAAATGAAATATCGAAGAAAAGTTTTGTCACTGCTTTATAATATAGAAATAATAACTTCTCTTCTTTCAGGGTTTAATTTCTGTATAAAATCTTGAGAGATACAAAATAATCCCATTGATTCTAATTGGTTATACTATCAAGTAAAATAATACTGAAATATCAATAACATAAGAAAATCGTCAATAAGATTTGAGAATAGCCGATGAATGTCATGAATAAGAAGGAACAACTTTGATTTGTTATTTTGATTCATCAGGTAAATTATTAGAAAAGAATATTGCACAATTTAACATATTAACATCTTTGACACAATTAAAATCAAAACGAAAACGTTATCTTATTCATGCATAAGAATCCAATTAGAAATTTTGTTATCTAACAAGTCTTTTGACAACAATGAAAGTAGTTGTAGTACTTTATATACACACACTTTCATCTCATCCTCTGCAGTATCTTGACATATGTAATGAATAATGAAATAAATTAGATAATGAATATTTTATTTTCGAAAGAAAAAGTTAAAAAGAACAAACTAAGAAAAAGATACGAAGAGAAACTAAAGAAGAAAATCACAATATAGATGATAATCATGTATAGATATTTTCTCATTTCATTAAAGAGATGAAGAGAGAGGGAGGGAGAGAAAGAAAATGAAAATTTTCATGTTTATTCTTTTTTTCACTGATGATTTTGAATGATCTTATGCTGGACACCAAGTT